GTAAAAATTCTCTAATTAGTCTGGAAACGGGGGACCTAATTCTTGCATTCTGTGAAAACGTGTAAGATTGGCTATAATGTAATTATCTTAATCTTCACTATCGTTACTTTTTGCCCAGCGAAGCGGGTCCTTGCAGCTAGATTCTAGATTATTTAGAAAAACAGTCTTTTACATATAAAAAAACTATATTACATACAAAATAAAAACCCAACGAAGCGGGTCCTTGCAGCTAGTATATATATATATATTATATATTACTGTATTTTATGGATTTAAATCGCTTTATATTTGAAAGAATATTGAGCGATTTAAATCAAAATTTAAAATGCAATATAAAATTAATTCCATTTAAAATGCAATACTCGAAAGAATTTTGCATTTTAAATGTGTTCTTAACTAGACCGATAGAATGCTGAATTCTATCGGGCTAGACACAGCCACAATACTAAACAAATTATGCAACCAATTTGGAACTAGAGCGTGTTAGGTGCCATCTCTTAATAACTTTAATTAATTTAGACCTTAAGAAAGAAGAAAATTGACCTGGAGCGGCACTCGAACCTACAATTCCTACTTACCATGCAGATGCGTTGCCAGTTACACTACCCGGCCCTCCGGTCAGATCTCCTCTATCAGTATATATAAGCTTACGTTATAACCATCGACGGTTATTACAATTCTAGTTTTTCTCTTTCAGTAGCTTTAAATTATTTAAATTAAAAATTATAATTACTAAAGTTACTTAGAAATGGAACGCTTTCCTTTAGTACCAAACTGGTTGCATAATTTATTTAGTAGTATGGCCGAGTCTAGCCCGATAGAATTCGTTATTGGCTTGTGTCAAGCTTTAAAGTATATCGGGTTTAATGGCGTTATGTGTTCTTAACTGTACTATACAAAAAAAACTATTATCAATAATACATTATAATAATATACTATAGAATTGTGGGCTATGCAGCGGGTCACTGGTAAATTCCCAAATGACCACTTACTGTGCAACAGATTGATAAAACCCAATCTCGGAGTCTGCTGGATGGTAAAAGGACAAATCGAGGTGGGAGTGCGTCGGTATGTCGGCAGTTGTCCTTAAATGATAGGAAACAGGTTCAACATTTAATAACAAACATTTATTGAATGGCTAAGCTAGGATACAAAAGGCGATAACAATATATAGGTTAGAAGCGATTAGATACAACTAAGAGTAACTGCAGATAACATAAGTTCAGTATACCCAAAAGGGACGCACTAATAGCTCTAACAGCTAATCTGAAAGAGAGAGTTCACAAAGCGCTAGAACAGTACAAATACCTCCATGCCGATATAACTATCACGCGTTCGATGAATATGTTCCTTAATGGCAATGGAAGTTCTGTCGTATGTCCGGTCGATCTGGTGTATGGAAACAAAACACACAGTTACAAGTATAACTTTCGAGAGATCGCCCCGAGCTTCCAGAGATTCGAGCTTTTATATCATTCGCGTGGGAAAACTGACACTTGATTGACTTTTGTTGACGATAATGGTGCATTCTTCACACCAAACTGTCAGCTTTCCCATCTAATTGTTATTACAATCGGTGACATCCGATCTAGTTCAAATTCTTCGGGTTTTTTCCAAAAATCTTTACACTTGATATAAAATTTGTATTTTTTTAAAAGCCCCGTAAAAATCCGCGAGCTCACAGAATAAACATAATAATAATAAAGAATTAATAAAACAGATTTATACTTTAAGTTTTAAATTCACAGATAAAACATATATTTATCTTTTACAGTTGTACGATAACTTCATAAGTATAGAAAAGATCTCATCTGCAAACCTTCCATTGACATTTAAATTTAAGGTATGTAAAGAAGTTAATCATTATTGAAAAGTGAGAAATCATAAACGATTTTTCATTCACTTTTTTCAACGCGAAATCGTTAAATTTCTGAGAGATTTTTAAACATTTTTAAACATCGTCGCTTGATAATTTAAAAAAAAAATTTATCGATCATCGTCAAGTAGATTTTAAGTCTTGTAGGCCGAGTAACGATGTCAGGTATTATTTAAACAAACAAGTTACTTTCAAAATATTTAAAACTGTAAATTATATATATATATCAATTTCAAACTTATTTATTTTTTATTTTAAACAACATATTTTAAATATTCTTATACAATAACACAGGCAAAATTTCTCTTTTGAACGATTTTGGCTTTCGTTTAGAATCTTCTATAGTGATAAAGATAATTATAGTAGAGCATCGATTATCCGACCCCCGATCAACCGTCACATCGGTTAACCAACCGCGTTCTAGTCGGCAAATTCAAATGTCCGCTGGTGATGCGACGCTATAATATTCGGCTATGTCTTGGCTAATTTAATATTATTTTCGTTAAATTTTTGGTGTTTTAGCTGGCAACACTGGCTCGACCATGAAAGGGATGTCAGTATTTAAACGAAGCTTAATTTTCTAATTATAAGTGGTTATTTGTTTTGTAAGCAATAAAATAATTTAAAAATAATTTTTAATGACACAATAGCGAAGATTATTATTTTTAAAAAATTTGTTAGTCTTAACATCGATAAAAATTCAACGCGAAGTACGTTAATAGCGATATACTAATATCCTAATTACATAAGATATAATAATATACTATACTAATAATGTATTTTTTCATACTTTTCTGTTATCCGTCGTTTTTTTCAGTTATCCGACCAACCCCAGTTTCCAACTGAGTCGGATAATCGATGCTCTACTGTACTGTTATATGTCAAGTTTTAACTTTAATTAACTAATACTAAAAAACCACTTAAAATTTATGTCAGGCTGCACAATTTATAGACAAATGATTGCCAACATTAATGTTATCATGTCCATGGCTACGGTATAAGACTTCTAGAAGGGCAAGGAAAAAGTAAAAAGCACTCAATAATTGGAGACACGAAAGAGAAGAGAAGGGAAAGTATATTTCGTAACGAAAAAATATACTATAGAACTTCAACAAGAACACCGCCAACTCATATTCGGGCACAGAATTTTACGTAAAATAATAAAGCAGTCTTAGAGACTTTTATTTGTTCATTTAAAGCAAATTATTAAATTTCTTATTTAATGTATAATTTCTGACTTACTTTATGGGACGATACAGAAATACAATACTAAAAGGAGTGAAATTCCAATACATTTTGGGAAAAGACTTATAAAAAATAACAAATCGTTAATTAAGGAAGGATTTTATTGTATACAACTAACATTTGATAAATTCGTTTGAATTTCAAATTATTAATTAATATTTACTAACTCTATGAATTATTTTTCTTAAAGATAAACGACTACATGAAGAGATTTGGGAAAATTCCACTCGGAATATCCATACGTGGATTCTTCTATGTAAAACGAGATTTCTTGATAAGGGTATGTTCTGACCTATGCTTTAAGTATATATAAATACATATCATTGGATAATAGAAGTATCGTTATTTACAGGTAATAAGTGCAATCTATTCGGCGTTGTCTTCTTGCATTGAAGTCGGCGGAGTGTTACATAAAGACAGAACATGCACGGAAAAGCACACAAATAATACATATCACACTTAAGGACCCATCAGTGGCAAAGCAATTGCGTTCTCTTCAGGGAACGGAACCGCTTTGCGAGTCCGGTCGTGGATTCGTCCTCACCCGGACGAACTGGCCGCGTGGAGTTTTCCGGGTTTTCTCCACGTTTGTAATTCCTGAATAGGGGCCAGTTACGCTTAGAAGACCTCCCGGAAGGCATTGTTTCTCGCATAACGACAATCATATACGTATACAACTGCTATTACACGACAATTACATCACATTTTACTACGGGGCGATATAGCGTAAACGCTCATGCACAACTACTCGTAGCTGATACAAGACAACACAAGATCACAATTAAGTATTAATTTATAAATTATTTATCAAATGGTGTAAAACGTAGTTTAACAGCTTTCACAATGTTTTTGATGTTCTGCACTAAATAAATGTAGAAATTAATGCAACGATTGTAGAAATAATTTTGCTTCAATAAAGCATAAGCGAAATCAAAATTTTAGCAGTCTGTGGTTGATCCGTTACTTCGTCCAATTTCTCGATCTGAGTATCACAAGACAGCATTTGTATCGGAAACATCTAACGTCGAAACGCCCAGATCAGTGTAAAACTGATGATATGTGGGCAGAATAAAGGGAAGAAAAGGCTTAAGATTCTCAACCTGTTTGTGTTAAGACCGGTTTGTGTTTTATATTTTGCCTACAAATATACAAATCTCTAGCAATTTTAAGTCTTAATTTCTTTTTTGCCTATACAGTATTTAACAATATTCATTTTTCGGTAAGAGAATGCTTTACAAACATATTTGTGTTTTTGATTTCAAACCTAAAATATCTTACGTGACTGAAAATTATGATCACCTTATAATAAAGACTTGTGTTTTTTATTATTATTGCCTTACTGTCATTTAGTTTCTTAATATATATTCTTCGTGAACTTGAACATTAATTATTAATAAAACAATTATACCGGTTTTTAAGTTTCTACGCAAAAATTGAGGAAAAATGTTTTAAAGAAAATGGCCTTTTTAAGAACTTTTTCCTCAATTTTTGCAAAAACCAGTAAAATTGTTTTATTAATAATTAATGTTTAAGTTGACAAAAAATATATACTTTTGTCTTTTGTTTAATTTAAATTATATTTAAAACACAAATTGTCTGATTGTTTTATCTTAGGTACAAAGAGTGGCTTGCACTATCTTAAATCTTATAGTGTTATGCCATTGATCTGGGTAGCAGATCTGCTTTAAATATTTTTTTCTTTAATTTCTTTTCATTAATTTTTTACGGCGAAGTTACGAACTGATAACTGATGTGTATAACCATAATTAAGATTCGGTGTTCAATGGCCAAAAATTTTTATTTCACGCACAAATTTGAGCCAGATTGACATAAGATTTTTGTTTTTATTTTGACTTTCACAAGTTTTAATGAAAATGAATATTCTTTTCCAGGTATCCAGGGTATTTATTGTTTTACTTCCTAACATTTTTTGTTATGTAAACGTATATCGTCCATCAGTATTGCAACGATGTATCTTCAAATTGTGCAACCAAGATTTCTTCAGATTAAATGTATTCCAACACTTTGAATTGGATCAGGCAGGAACTATTGTATGTGAAAGCTGATTACTTTTTTACCCTTGTCTTTCTTAGCTGCTTGTAATGTTTTTTGAGATTATTTTACATTTTTTCAGCTCTTCTCTAAATTTATAGGTTGTACTTTTCTGCTCTGCATTCTGCTTCGTTTCGTTTGTTTGCTTCTGTTGCTATATAATATGCATCACATGTCCCGCTGTGTGTCGCTTTTGAAAATTTTAATTTCAATCCCATACTGTGTACAAAATGTTCTTTTCAACCGATCTTATTTCACTACAGTATATTTTTGATTTTATATTATGATTCAAAGAAATCTTTCTATGAATTGAAAGATCGTGATTAACTTAATCGTGATTTTCCATCATTACCTAGAAGCAAAGTGTGTTCTCTGTACCCACTGAAGTGCGATACGTCATTAAATTTAACCCCTCAGGTCAACGATAAAAGCAGGCCTGCGCGCAGTAGAAACCTCGGTAAAATGCACAAATGCAATACAGGATAGCAAATACTTTATTTATTCGATTAATATTACAATGATTTGTGTAGTATTTAAATGAAACGGTTTTTCATATATTTATTAACAGCTGTTTTTACTTAACATATATATGTGATGTAATTACAAGTTGTAAAATTTAAGTACTTTCTGTTTCAGCGCTTATTTTAAACTTTTCTCAACAGATTTTTTTTCCAATAAAATTAAGTCGAAATGTCTGCAAACAAAATGCACTTCTGGTATACTATGCACACTTTTAAGTTATGTAAAGGATATAACGGTGTAAAATAGTGCCGAAAGTGCTTCTGAACTCCGAATGTGTCAAACGTGGGATTGAAAGTTTCGTTCGCGAAATTTTGAACTGAAGAATACAAAACCTTTTTTTTTTTGTTCGTGCCTTCTCCTAAGAAAGGTTGGAAACCAGAAAATACAACTGTTTTCTTTTGTAACTCTAATGAATAATTGCCTGGCAAGGCCCTGGCTACTGGAATAACGTTTGCACTTTATTTTTCGAGTGTTAAAAAACTTCCCACGTTAGTTTTTGATGACTTCAGTGGTTTAGTACTCAGTAGACTTCTGGCGTGTGCATAAATTATTTTTGGAACATATATTTAACACTTAGATTAGATATGTCCAAAAAACACTTAATATATGACTCAAAATAACAATAAAGTATTTTGACATTTTTGAATTTTATATTTGGAATTGCTTTATATCGTTGCAGAGTTCATTGAAATTCGGTTAAACTATGGAAAAATTATCCGACTTCAAATACTTTTTTTTGAACTAGGATAAATCGGATTTATGCTGCTTTATTTTTTCATTATGCGAGTTTATAATATAATTTTAATTTATATATAACGTATACTTATCAATAATTATTTTTTAGTTAATAATTTTATCGAAATATTTAATGAAAAAATAATATCAATAAATAAGTAAAGACTTTATAAGAAACACTTATAAACATGCTGTTGAAAATGTTTAAATCATTCGATGACACTGAGTTTAGTATAAATATATTTACTATCCATACAAAAGAACCAATACAGTAAAACTTGTGTAAATCGGAATCGCGCGATACTAAATAATTTTTTCAGTTTGGCAGATTTCCGTTTTAAACAGGTATTTTGAACACACAAAATCGCTCTGTTTCAAAGAATCTTTTTATATACGCTTAATTTCACTTTTATTCAGGTATCGTTTTTGACAGGTTTATTGTACATGGATTTTCATAGTAAATACATGTTTATTTTATTACAATATTAAATTTTGAATAAAAATGATCTTCTTCATAAAAAACAATTTGTACATAAACTATTATACAGTAGACCCCTATAACACGAATTTATATAATACGGATTTGTATGACATGGTGAAAAATTTATTGTGTTCGTATAAACACGCTAAAAGATACACTTATAATACGGTAAAACGTCATCGCCGATTCATGTAGCTACAGGATTGGTCGAGTCTAGACAAATAGCGGATATTACACAAACCGTTTTGTTTAAACGAGCATTAGACGTACTAAATACATTTATTATTCAACGGCCATAAAAATTGTATTTTTATTAACTACATAGTTTAGCGAATTTTTCGCAGAAAAATAACTAATCAGAAAACACGCGCATACCATTCGATTCGCCGCTCCGCGACGAAAACGAGCTTAAGCAATGGCATCGTCGAACGGTGCACACTCTAAAAGTAATCCTACAATTTTTTGTTTATAGCATAGTTTATATAAATTATTCCCAAAAATTTAAACGCGTTTCGGAAATATTGAGTGAAATTAGTTTAGAATCAATTAATTTTATGGAAGAAAACCTTTCAAACAGCCGTAGTTCCTAAACTGCACACGTGCCGGGCTGTGATTGACTCATGTATTTAAGTGACTCGTAAAACACGGAACTCAAATAAAACGGTTTTAATTGCTTTCTACAGAGGCTGGGTCTAAGTTGGAGAACTACAAATAACCACAGTTATATCTATTTATAGGATATACACACAAATTTGTGTTTGATTGTGCAAAATTAAGGTCAGTAGGCTAATAATAATAAAGGAAGAGAAGGGGCTGCCTGCTTTTGCAAACTTAGCCCACGAAAATAAAGAGATGACGAAAAGGGTGAAGGAAGGGTTCTGAAAAATGAACTATATAGAAAAAGGGGTCAAAGTAACGGTGAAAACAGTTATTAGGACTTCAGAGCGCTGCATCGGAAATTATTAATAGCAAAAATTTTCAAATTTTGGCTAAGAACAAGGTCAGTAGGCTGCAATTTGATAAATTTGCAGACCTATAAATGTGCACTGTCGCATATCTGGCAGTATGTCCTTTCTTAATAATCTCGAAAACAGAGGCAGCTAGGTAAAAGTCGGAAATATTCATTGAAATGATATGGGAGTAGGCCCCATTAACTGTATAGGAACTTCCAGACTACTCCAGAGATCACGTGAATTCAGTCACGTGTAAATTTGTTTTGGATGTTTTTTGGTTTATGCCTGGGCGAATTTCAGGTTACTCTGGTAACTTTTCTACTTTGGTGTCTGATAATTTTTTAAATTCCCACGTTAGAGTTTAGTTATTTTGATGTCAAAATGCTAAATCGAACGCTGTCATGTGCATAGATTTCTTTTTGAGAAATATAATTGATTCTGTGAAAAGTTATATTAAAAAAACCAAGTATCGCCTTTTCTCCTTTAATCCTTTAAATTATTAATAAGAAAAAGTACTTTGACGTTTTCAGAGCTATTTTATGTATTATAAAAGCTAGACAGTTGCTTCATATCTTTGCAGGGTTTGGTAAGTTTCGGTTGAACTTCGATAAAATTATCCGAGTTTACAGATAATGTCCCTCATCGCAACTACATGCTATCACGTTACCTAGCTCTTCCATTGCTTCTGCTGTAACTGCATGCCTGGGATCTGTACCGATTTAAACACGAATTCCGCTTCCTTTTGTTCACATGTATGCAGTTATTCTCGACATTTTCCTTTCATTTCACTGCAAATTTTCAACTTTTATGTAACTAATTTTAAACATTTGTTTTTTTAGCGGTGTGAAGCAACTTATCATTATGTTTCAGACACAGTTCGCTCAGTCCACCCTGTACAAAATATCAAATGCAAATGGTTTTAATGAGCGACTCCGAATTATTCAACACTTTCTCTGCTTAAATGCCAACTCAGCCAGGAAAGTAAAATAAGTAAAAAAAAAATCACTTGTGACAGCTGCTATTTCGTTGTAAATGTGTCTCTTTAATCCGGTCAATTCAGTTCGGTAGACTATCATCTACAGCTTTCAGGTTAGGTACATCTTTTATTGGTTTGTCAAATGCATTTCAGACTTATTTGTATTTTAAGTCCCTCTTCAGCTCAAAACTAAGGTTCAGTTTTTAAAATTATACATTTATACACCGGGGTTTTTTAAAAACTGAATTTCAGTTTTGAACTGAAGAGGGACTTAAAATACAAATAAGTCCGAAATGCATTTGACAAACCAATAAAAGAAGTACCTAACCTGAAAGCTGTATATGATAGTCTACCAAACTGAATTGATCGGATTAAACAGACACATTCACAATAAAATAAGTATTGTTTTACTTATTACTTGATCACAAAGTAAACCAAAAATGTTGGGTAAATTATTTTATATTTAAATTTTTTCTTCACAAATCAACAAGAAGTAAAACTATCTCAAGGGATACTTTTACTTCTTGAATCCCAGTAAAATAATTATGAAAAGTACAGTTTTCTCAATTCGCCATCTTAAAAATGTATATATAATATTAATTTCTATCACATATTATTTGTTATAAAATAAACCGAAGGTCGCAAAACTTTTTCGATCATTGACGCCTACAACTTTTCGAAACCTCACAGCAAAAAGATAGCTTTTACTACATTAATACATTTTTTACAGTTATTGTATATATGTAAATAGAGTTCCGAAAACTCGGCCTAATGTGGACCGAAAGGTGGTCGAGTTTGTGAAAATGCCAAGTTATCGAAAATGGGGTTAGAAAAAATATGTACGAGTGTTTCCTTAGAAAATACTGAACTGTACTGGTATGTATTGTTTGCTTGAGAATACAACAGAAAATAAACTGCCCAAAAACCCTAAACAAAAAAGAAGGCATAGAGCCTTTACTACATGAAAATGAAAATTAATAAATACACAGTGTACAGTAATTTACCTGATAAGAAAGGCGTCGGAAAAATACATTATGAGGCATGAAGCTGTCTATAATGGAGATTAACTAAGGGTATTTTCGCCCTGCCAGGTTGTGGCCGAGTTATCCGGACTGCCGAGTTATCGAATGCCGAGTTTTCGGGACTCTACTGTAATAATTTTCGTAACCGTCCATCAATGAAATGGAAAAGTTTGATTATCCTTAGTAAAATCAGCAATATTTGATGTTTTAGTGTTAAAATGCCTAGAAGTTTCACATTTAACTTATTTCTCTGTTTAAATAAGATGGAATTATCACGGCTGAAACCAGCTCCAATCATACACAAATACGAATAAGCCAGGAAGAAAACACTTATCATATCACAAAGTTGTTGTGTATATCTTTGTATTATATTTATATTCGTGCAGAAATTCTTGATATTTAAACTTTTTAAAAAGCGATTTTTCTTCAAGGTCAGCTTATAATTCCATAAGTTCATCTTGCAAGTTGATGTGGACATTTTTTATCTGGGTGGATAATGGCACCATAATCTATTTCAAGATACAGTAGAACCTCGAAAACTCGGCTCTCGATAACCCGGCACTCCGGATAACTCGACCACACCCTGGCAGGGCAAAAAAATCCTTAGTTAATTAATTTTCATTATAGACAGCTTTATAAAAGTATAAAAGCTCTCATAAAGTATTTTTCTGAGGTCTGTCTTATCAGGTAAATTACTGTACACAGTGTATACATTAATTTTCATTTTCATGTAGTAAAGTACGTAGCCTTCATAAAGTACGTAGTTTTCCTTTGTTTAAGGGTATTTGGGCAGTTTATTCTCTGTTATATTCTCAAGTAAACAATACATACAAGTACAGTACAGTATTTTCTGAGGAAACACTCGTACTTATTTTTTTAACCCCATTCCCGATAACCCGGTATTTTCACAAACTCGGCCACCCTTCGGTCCACATTAGGCCGAGTTTTCGAGGTTCTACTGTATCAATATTTTCTAAATCTGCAAAACGCTGTTCTATTAAATCCGTTGAAACAATATTTAAAAAAATGTGTAGTTATATTTCTCGTTTTTAGTTTTAATTTCTCCATCGACCCCCAATAATATTATATTGATCCCACCATGTCTTTTTAAATTTATCATTTTATAAATTTGTAGATAAGAGAACAATTGGAATAAAGTAACCTGTAAACCTTGTAAAACCTAAAAGTACGAATATTGTTTTTCAAATCAATCTTTCAGAAATAACAAAAGTTATCGTAGAACAATTTCACATGTAAATGTAAACGAGAAAATTCAGTTTCAATTCAATGTTTCAATTTTCTATGTGAGATCCCGGGCGCGACTAATTAGTAAATTAATTGTTACACGTAATTATAAAGTGGAAATAACTCAGAACTTCAACCGGCAATTCCGTTGCCCTCTGATTGATAGATAAATGATGATCGAATAACCTTACAAATCAACAATCTTTCGGTAACCTTCAATCCGCGTGAAAGTATCTATATATTGTAATTCGCTTTATTTTTATATTAAATTTATTGCTTTATTTAAATGACGTGGATTTAGATATTACTCTGGACAAAATCACCCAATCGACAGACTCATTGTTCCTCCCCCACTCGACGTTAGGAATAGCCCTCATACATATTTCTAACACCGTATATCGATCCAGTAACAATTGAGTGGTCTTTGCCGGACTGACGTTGGAGAACGGGTTTAGAACAATAGCCTTCAAACCCCCGGCTTTCACATTGTACGTTACACGTACTCAAAAATTCGTATTTCCTATACAGATAATTTTATGTGAAAAATTAGCGTAATTGCTCATATTTCCTTTATCTTAATAATAAACGCATGTAACTAACAAGATTAATTTAGTAAAACTAATAAAAATTAACATGGCCGCCGATTATTTACGTTTACTAAAATACAACAAATGTAAGTACAACTTTGTCATATTTTATTAAGTTAAATTCAATTTTCTCCATTGTCTCGAGCAAAATTAAATTTTTTTAATGTTAGGAAGAAAAACCGAATTACAATTACTGCAGTTATCAGGTTATATTTTTGCGTATAACCCGTTTGCTGCATTATAATAACATGAAATATAATTTATAAATTGATATTTATTTAAAACATCACAGAAATATTTACCCAAAAGAAACCAATTTCTATAAAAACTTCGAAGTGATTGAAGCCCAAATATTTCAAAAACGATTATTATGAGGTGTCGTTGTTATACCTGAAAATGAATAGTTTTTCACTATATTACTAGAAAACATTTTATCGCGAAAACAGCAATTAAATTCATCTTACCCTAAAAAGTACAGGAGAGTGCTCCAGGATAGAGTAAAAAGCTGTAGTCAAAAACACCTACTTGTAAACAAAGGCAGAATCCTTGTGCTGCTTTACGTAAACTTCGAAGCTTTTCCTACGGAATTGACGCATTTATTTTTTTTTTCAGTTTTAATTATTTTATACGTTTATTTAAATTTATATTTTAAAAAATTACTCGTTAAGGCGTTTTGAAAGCACTTTTTTTATTGGGAATATGCCATACACGAATTTATATTCGAGTATACAACAGCAACCTTATCGTTGTTTATCACATGTATATGAATCTGTGATAAAACACATAATGAGTTTATAATAAAATATTAATTTTTAGTAATTCCAAGTACGTTAAAATTTAAAAATAATCGCACAATATGTATTTATATTTTAGAAAATACAAGGGAACCGGCTTCACCGCATTCCACTGATGTCCTACCTGTTGCATTAATTAATAATATAGCGCTATATCATTTTCGTAATAACAAAGTATATACAATTTATAATTTTTTAAATTTATATCTTTTTTTAAAGAATTGTATTTTGTTTTCTTAAATTTTTCCCAATACATGATACCGCGTGATATCCTAGAAAATTAAATGTAATGGCTAATTAATTGTACATATACAATCTATATTTTGGAGTGATATTTATGACGTTTTCTAAGTTAAAAGGATGTAAACGTAATTGCTTAGAGATACGTTAAAATCTAAGTGAAACAATTTGAAAATTTTCAATTAAACTTTATTCTTTTCATGGGTAATACAATAAAAGTTGTTAGTGAGACATTCGGTCATTTATAAACATTTATTAAGATTTTGTTACGTTAATAGCTTGCCTGTTACTTATAATAATGCTATATTTTACTTAATTCTCTTTTTTATTTGTCCTAAGTTTTTGAATATAAGACTTACGACGAAACAAATCTGTAAACAAATATATGTATGACATAGATAAAAAAAAGCAAAATTTTAACATGTCAAATGGAGTATCGCATGGATGTCCATTTAAGAGAAGCCAATACATCCAACTAGTAAGCAGAAATCCAAATACCATTTGTGTAATTTGGATAACGGTGATCAACATGGCAACAATTGGAAATATCTTTATTTCCATGCATTTTAGAGTAAAATAGCTGTACATTAGCGAATGTACAAAACTATTGATGTAGACGATAGTAATTAAATAGCTGGACTCTTTGAATAAAGCATACCACGATAAGATAACAATCGTTACGTGATGGTAGTAATGAAGAAACATCAAATTTCGTTTATTTAATATTATTAAAATTGTATCTCCCAATTCCCAAACCTTAGAAAATACAAATATAACTGTCCAGAATAAGATCGCTGGTGTATTTTCTGTCAAATTTTTATCGCATATAATTTCATAAAATGATAGTCGCTTAAATGCCTCGTACAGAACTGGAATTCCTCTTATAATATTACAAATGCTATAAATAGCCAAAAGTCCATTCCAAATCGTAAAGGCACGTTTGAAGTTATAAGGAGGTCGATTTCTCATGTGATGCTGAAGAATCTTGATGGTCATCAAGTAGATGATGGAGATGTAGATGGAATAATGCCAATAATTTCCAAAAAAATATCTGACAAAATCAGGAGTAAAAAAGGTTCTTTCGAAATAAAACGGTTCAACTGCGATCGTCACGTTGTGGGTTTTCATTGTCGAAAAATGTCGATAAAACTGAAAATAATTTAAACAATTTAAAGCTATTAATTGACTAAATGTATGGATAATCACGTTTAATACATTTAAATAAAATGTAATCAATATTTATGTGAATCTGTAATAAAATTTTAAATTATTTTTATAACCATTCTTACCGTAATATTGAAATTACACTTAATCTAAATAATTGTTTATTCAAACTTTCATATAATTTCCAAGTGTTAAAAATGATGCAAAATCACTAAATAAAAATTTAATTTTTATAAATAAACAATTTTAAATATGAGTATATCCTGGTTTTATTTATTAGAAAAATGATAAATTGATATGAAATAATTTTTGGGAAATTTATGATTCTACAATAATTTTAATACACAAAAATGATGATTTACTGTGACATAAGAAATGTAAGTTTAATTAAAATTTTGATTATTTACTACCGAAAATCTTACTTATTACTAAACAAACACAAATTTCTTAAAATTAAATAAGCTGGGGCGAGTACAAATAAGCAAAAACAACATTACATAGAACAAGAACTAGAGACGAAAAATTACCATGTAGTAAGATTTTTCAACTTTTATGTTTACGTAACGCTAAAATACTTTGGGAAATATTCGTAAATACGTTAATTTTGAATGAATTTACTTACTATGAAAAATAATTGGAGTTGGCTTAAATAAAATTATTTACCATTACCAGTAAATTGACAATTCAGTAATTCGTGTTCAGAAATAAGACGAGTTTTTAATAAGTCGCATAAAGAAATCTATTGTTAGTTGTTTTCCAAACGTGAAAGTGCTAATACTTATAAATTTATCAGTGTATAATATATCTTATTTAACAAATTCCTATTTTGCTTTTACAGACAGGACAGGAATAGGAATTGAATGTTTCACATATTGCTACAGCACCTACCACTACAATAGAACAAGTATAGTACACAATATCACTTATACTTTAGTTTAGGGCCCATCAGCCGTCGTAAAGTAGAGTAGTACGAAAAGAACGGCATTTATACCAACCACTTACTATGTTAAGAATGTTGTAAATTCTAGTGTCATTTTTCTGTTTTTTGAATTGGAATATTTAAATCAAACGTATTAGTACTTTATTCCATTTATTTAGAGTAAAATAGTTATATATTCAGAAAAATACTAAGTAAATTTAAGGGAAAACGATAGTGACCTCAAGCAAAACATAACAAAGAATAAAATTGTCAAATTATATTATGGCGCTTTCTTTGGTTGCCCCTAAATTATACCTTTTAATTCTTTTTACCACTGTGGCGCTCCCTAAGACTTAGCGCCTATAGCGGCTGCTACGTTCGCCCTGTGGTACAGCCGGCTCTGTCGGTCGTTCGCGCCCGTGTCTGCTCGCGCAAATTTCAAAGTTGCGGCTGTTAAAGGTTTTGTGTCTATCCCAAAGACACAGTGGAAGCACAAAAGAGGTGCCAACCATCTGGTCACAAAATATATAAATCTCAGATAATATAAGAATCGTATAGATTATATTTTAACAATATAATTCGCCAAAGACTACCTTTAAATAATACAAGGCGTGATACTTACCAAACCAAGGTAAAAATAAAATGCGCAGAATTGTGTTTAATATTCGATATTTGTGCACATTTAATTATAAAGATTTACGATAAGTGAGTGTGGAATGGGAAGAGTGCCAACAGTAATTTTTTTTTCAAAATAAGATCGGTATAAATTTCAACATTTCCCTCTTGAATAAACATCTTTATTTCCTGGTTTTTTTTAAAATAATAAAGTAAAGGTATAAGACTTATTAACAAATACGCAATATAAATGTTTTAAAACTCTCATTTTTACTATTTTATAAAAATATATAAGCATTGTTTCTCGATAATTTTATATGAATATAAATTTATAAATATTTCTTTTAATTTAAAATTCTTGTAGTACAGTAGAACCTCCATTATCCGGACCTCTATTATCCGGATTTTCGATTATCCGGATTGTTCAAAATAAACAAAAATTTTACGAATTTGCTGATTTGCACTTGGCGAATTACGACACTGTTTTACGAAATACTGTTTATGTTTATGTACGTGATGGAATGCATAACTTTTTTTGTTTCAACAACGTCTCACCCAGCACAGTGGTCGTAAACTCTTAAATATATTTTACGTAGTAATAAAAATATAACTTGACATACGTATTTATAAATAATTTATATTCAAATTACATCATTTCTATGACCAAGGGCGGCGTAAGGCAT